TTGCCTAAAATGTGTTATTTTGTAATTATGTTGTTTATTTGTTTACATTTTTCCCCTTTAGTCTTTAAAATACCAATATTTGCCCGTAACTTCTTATTTTTTGTCTGTTTAATGTCATCATTTTAAAAATATTAGACCAGATGATACTCAGTACTCAAGTAGCCTTCTAATCAGATACTTTTTTACCCTTACTTGAGTAATAAACCCTATATCAGGAAAATATTGTCCTCGGTTTGTGTCCTTCCAGTGAGCTTTGCAGATGTGGGAAAATGTCATCAGGCAGTAATCGTTGTTAAATTCATAATTATTCTCGGAGAGAGACCAACTCTTATCTGCCCCTGGGAGCCCCGTAATGCATAGCGTCATTTCAACATGGGGGTGTCCGCGACACGGTTTATATGCAGGTAGCGGCGCTGCGGCTGCTTTATATAGCGACTCGTTGCATTCTCCCTCAACCCAAATCCTCGGATCACGCATTTTAGCTAAAACGCTAACGTTAGCTTGCCTTGCGTTGACTGTAGAGTTGTGGGTGATGGTCACGCAGATGTGTCATGAGATTTGAAGCGTTGCTGCCTTTCACAGACATTTTTTCTGCACGTGCTGCAAACAGGATAGCCGTCCGTCCGTCTTCTATAAATTCCCTCGACATTCTTCAAATATCTAAAATATGCCAGTACTTCCCACTTTGTCTTCTTTGAGGGATAATAAATGTCCTGAGCGCTGCCGTCTCCTCCTTTGACCATTATTTCAGCTTTAGCTTCAAGAAAGTTTTGTTGTAAACAAAGTGCGCATGTGCCGCCGGCAACTTCAGCCGATGATACGGTGGCTGGTAAAGGTCACCGCGCCTACACCGCAGCCACGGTAATCCACCGAGATAATATAGTTTTTTTTTAAAACAAGACGGTTATTATTATTGTCAATTTTTTTTTACCAGGGTTTACCGCTACACCGGTTACCGTGACAACCCTACCTGATCGGTTTGCTTTGATCTATTTTGAAAATTTCGATCAAAACCGATAGGGGCGCTATCGGCCGATTACGATCAAATGCAGATCCATCGGTGCATCCCTAGCAGCTCCTGTAAATACTGATCAGTGTTAAAAGTATGCAAGTCACGAATTCTGATAGTCTTAGTTGGTGTATGTGGTAAAGATATTTTCCAGAAACAAAAAATAAAAGAGTGATCACTAAAGCAGTAAGGCAAAACGCCGTAATCAGAAAATCTGTCTGGGTGAGTTACTAATATCCAGTCAATGAGAGAAGAGTTTGTGGCACAAGTCCTAGTTGGCTCAGAGACCAGCTGTGTCAGATTTGAGCTATTTAAAAGAATACGTTCTGGAAGAGTAGATTCATCAGGCCAGTTAAGATTGAAGTCACCAAGTAAGATCATTTCCATAGTGTCCCCCAACGATTCAACTAGGGCTGCAACTAACGATTATTTTCATAATCGATTAATCTGTCGATTATTTTTTCGATTAATCGATTAATCGGTTTGTTATTGTTTAGCTATTTAACCTATACAAGTGATGGATGCATTTCAGTTAAGAAAAAAAACATAAGAGAATTGTGCAGTTGACTGCAATCTATTTTATTGCACATGAACACAGTCAGCAGTATAAAATGAGCTAAACAGTGCAAAATATCAGTCCAGAATAATTTTTTAGCATTAGCTGGAAGCCTGCTCCTTCCACCATGGATAGTGGCCTCATGTCTTTTACCAGCATGTTTAGAATAGAGTTTGTAAGTGGTATGAATTGCTGGGGGGTGAGTGTCTTGTTCCCCATGTAGTTGTCCATCGTTGCTTGTTTTTTTTCTGCATAAGAAACACAAATAGACTGAAATAAGTACACATATAAAATAAAGCAGCACACACACTACAACACTAAATCAATATTATATTATTTGAATTAATTAACAATATACAGTGATCATTTATTTTGAGGGTTACGTTCTACAAAATAGCCCGCAACAGGAGATATTCAGAAAAGTCTAATTTTTTTACAATAGAGCTCCGGGAGTTGACGTCACTTTTCCCGGCATGCAACAGTTCAAATCGAAACGGCGCCATATTGGCATGCAGAAGCCGGCAGCTGGACTATTTGTTATTGTCCAAAAACTCAATCAAACGGGAAATATGGTAGATTCCTGTTGTGCCCCAGGATGCAGAACAGACGCGGACGACATAAGGAATGAGCCATCTACAGGATTCCTCAAGATCCAGAGTGCCGCAAACGTTGGATCAAACAATTGTAATAAAACGCGCTAGTGACCGGGCGAAAATGAAACTGTGGGATCCCGAGAGTAAAGGATTTCGCTTATGCAGCGACCACTTCATATCAGGTACTTAAACCAACGTTTCCTCAACTGTGTATGGTGTTTATTTTAAATGCTTTTATTATGATTCTTAGTGGGCTTCCTAAACTTATTTTGGCGTGGCTTTTTCTGTCTTAATACTCATAGCAGCAAGTAAACATCACGTAAAACGTTGCCTCGTGAGTTCTGCGTGCTGCCGTTTACGTGTTTTATGATCACAGCAATTAACCGGCTAAGCTGTATTTATTTTTTAAGCAATGGTTGATCAATTGTCAGATCACACACCGAGACTACTTACGTGTAAATCTGTTATTTGTCCGTCCATCCATCCATTTTCATCCGCGTATCCGGAGTCGGGTTGCGGGGGCAGTAGCATGACTTCCCTCTCCCCAGCCGCCGGAGCCAGCTCCTCCGGGTAAATCCCAAGGGGTTCCCCGGTCAGGTCCGGTGTTGTGCCGGTAAGAAGCCCGCTCCGACAGCTTCTGGCGTCGGAGCGGGCAGTAGAGTCGAGAGTCCCAGACCTTCTCCCCAGCTCCTCCGGCCGGGGGGATCCCAAGGGGTTCCCCCGGCCAGGTCTGGTGTTGTGCCGGTAAGAAGTCCGCTCCGACATCTTCTGGCGTTTTTAAAAAGTATCCCAGGGGCACGGTAAGGGTCGGAGATGTTTAGTCTATTTAATTTCTGACTATATAAAACGATTTCTTCTGTTTTAAAGTGTGAAGTAAACTCCGACGAAGTAAAATCCAAGCGGATCCCGTTCATGTTCATGGTTACATCCGTGTTTGTTTACCTTTTTTGCATGCCAAAATGGCGTCCACTAACTGAGAGTCACGTGGGGTCCGGAGCTCTATATATTAAAAAGCTCTGAGTAAGAAGCTCATGAAGTTTTTACTTTGAGTCGGGAGTGTTTAAATTAGCCAGAGAAATGTGAAAAATGTTTATTTTGTGTAATACTGTTTAAGAAACATGATAAAAATGTGTTGTGAGGCGTTTTACAGCGTTAGATAGTAAAACAGCCTTTTAATAGTAAAAAAATGACTTTTTCTGAATTTCTCCTGTATTTAAAAATTGAAAGCGTACAACTATGCCGCGTTATATTCACCTGGACACAGCTCGTCTGTATATTTTTCTCCGCGGAGTTGTCCTTTTTTGAATGAGGAACATAGTTATGGGTTTGTGCCGTTTTTCTCTTAACGAGAACATTCTTATAAACAGACGTGCTAAATTTGGCTAGCGCATGATTCACAACACGGAGGAGATTCACGATTGCATCTAGTCAATCAGAAGTAGAACAACGCAGACTGACATGGCAAAAAAACATGTTTAACATTCACTATAACGAACTCAGCTAAAACACTAAGTCCAGCTTGTTTATTTTCTGTTACTTACCGGGCTGGCTCTTCCAAATGACGGCTCACTTGACCGCGGTACTTGACCGCGGTGCTCTTCCTCTGCTGCATCAGCCCCCACATGTTTTCGTCTCAAATGTTCACTTAGGGACGTCGTGCTTCCGTGCCATGCTAGATGGTTTTTGCATATTTTGCAGGTCACCCGTCTTTTCAAGGCATCTAGATTGAAGTGCTCCAATACTCGTGAGGTTTTTGTCCGGGGTTTCTCTTCAGTTTGGTCGCTTCTATTTTTCTTCCGTATTTCGTCTTGTTCCGCCATCTCTCACAGCAAGATAAGCGTCAGTAACATGATACGTCATGAAAACCGAGGGCACTCATTGGCTCATTTCTTCTTCTACGGCTCCACTGGTAGATCAGTGACTCATTACTGCCACACACTGGCGGCAAATTTAACAGCTTGTAACCGATGTCAGATTGTGGTAAAAATAGACTTTATGCGGTAAAATATGATTATTAAACAACTAATCGATGACTAAAAAAGTTGTTAACTATTTTAATAATCGATTATAATCGATTAAATCGATTAGTTGTTTCAGCTCTAGATTCAACCGTAGCTAGTCAATGTTGTATTGCTTCAAATTTAGGGGAGGAGGGGGGGCGATAGATGTTGCCAATTATAATGTCCTTATTTCCATTAAAAGAAATTTTAGTAAAGATGGCTTCGAAGTGAAGTGGTTTGACTGTCGGAACAATAACCTGAGACTGCAGACTAGAGGAGACATAAGTGGCAACCCTGCCACCCCTCGTCCCTCTATCCATTCTATATAAAACAAAGTTGTCAAGAGAAATATCATTGTCAGAAATGTTTTCATTCAACCATGTCTCAGACAACGTAATTATTTTTGGTTCATTATAACCAAGCCATGCTTTTAATAAATCAGTTTTAGGAAATAAGCTTTTTATATTAAGATGGATTATGTGTAACCCTTTACCCATAAGAAGAAAAACGAGGTACAAAAATGACCCTCACAGCAGGCAGCCACAGAAGAAAATATAAAACAAAAATAAACAGAAAAAAAAAGAACAAAATATAATAAAATTACATGGAAATTAAATGAGTTATCACTCATGGTCCAAAAAGCAGTGGTCTCAGATCTGAGCCCATGGCCTGCAGCCTGCTCAAAGCACAGTCACCTAAACTAATAAAACTGCCATAACTCAACACGGTGGCTGGATTTTATCAATATAAATAAATAAGAATAAAGTAAGGATAATTTGACCTTAGACGAAATTTGACTTCTTCACTGAACAAGAGGAGAAGCAAAAACAAAAAGGAATTACCTGCTCTGCGGAAGAGTCAGAATCTAATAATAAAAGAAAGAGGAAAGTCAAGTCCGCCCTCCGCAGGTGCTCGTACACCCAAAACATCTCAGGGCATCTCAACCCAAAGCGTCCAGGTGACTTTCAGCAGCCACTGGGTCTGTAAAAAGCAGACGATCACCATCAGAGATTACCTTGATGTTTGCAGGATAAAGAAAAGCTTGTAGTCCCAAGGCGCGAGCCCGGCTCAAAACCGGGAAGCAGCGGCGTCTCCGACGAACTGTTTCATCACTGAAATCTGCAGCAAATCAAACCGATTTACCAGCCACCGACACCTCAGACTTCCTTGCCAGAGCCAGGATCCGATCCCTGTCATTCGCTCGGAGAAAACAGACCACCAAGGTCCGAGGAGACCCTGACGCGCTGGGTTGTCCAACCCGCCGCGCCCGAGTTACATCAGGAGGAGATCCCGCCAGCTCTGGGAACCACACCAACAGGTTGCTCCTAAGATAGGATAGAGCATTGTTGAGCTCAATCCCCTCTTTTAAATTGAGGATCCGGATATTATTCCTTCTGCTTTGATCATCGAGGGCAGTAATCTTCCTCTGGTGTTTCTACAGGTCTGCGCTCTGAGCCACGGAAGCGTCCTCCACGCACCGCACCCTTTTTTGGAGTAAGGTGGTGACTTGTTTTTGAGTTTCAAGCTCTTGTGCGTGCTTGTCAAGTGTAGATCGAATTGAGTCAAGTTGAGAATCAAGACTATCAAACCGATCCTTGGCATGTTTTTCTGCTTTGTCAAAAAACTTTTGAAGAGTAGACTCCAGAGTCTCCTTGTTCAGGATTTCCAGTGACACGTCAGCAGCGTCGTCGTCAGAGCCCTTCGTTTGATCTTTCTGCTGGCGCTTAGGAGGCATTTTTATCAGTAATATGACTTAGTAAATCACCTTTTCTCCAGTCCTTCAAAAAAGAACTTAAATTCAAGAACCAACCGCAAAAAGGTCAAAAATCCAGGTAGTTAATTAAATAAGGCAGGAGAGACCGCAGGCACACAACCACTCACTCCGCCATCTTTTTCAGATCTGAAAGATTATATGATAACTTATAATTACAGTCACATCTATAAATGCACATGTCTATAACATATATCTTATTATTAAATCAGATATCATTTATTATAGACATGTGCATATATATATAATAATATATCTATCTTTCTTCTACAATCTGCTCTTTAACTGTATTATTTCCTGCTATTTCAGCTGTTAACTTTATTTTCTCTCTAAGTGTTTTTCTCCCCAGAAGAAGCTACAACGATGTTCTGCTGAGCTGTGGTGGCCTCATGGAGGGGGCCATCGTCTAGCACACTGCTGCTAACCACTTAAACATTCTCCCTCTCCTGATAATAACTTTTTACTCTCTTTGACGTTGGATGTGCAACTACTAGTTTACCCGTTTAATTATAGATCCACTAGGAAAAATACTATAAAGTTTATCTCTCACCAAATAGAATATTTACTAAAAAAATCACAACGTAACCATAGACACACTACTTGGTGTGTGTGTGTGTGTGTGTGTGTGTGTGTGTGTGTGTGTGTGTGTGTGTGTGTGTGTCGGATGCATCTAGAGAGACAAAAGTCTAAAGTTATCTCTGACTGAAGGTGACCTGGCTCAGCGAGTCATGTCTGGTGTGAGAAGGACCTGTGCAGGTAGATGATGAGGAGACTCGCTGCTCGTGAGCAGAGGAACAGCTGATGAGGCTGGTTACTAGTGTGTTAACACAACAAAAGCAGGAGGACCATGGGGCTGGAGGCCTACGCAGGTTGGTGAAAGACTCACTCACCATTCACAAGCTCGCTCATCGATCCCTGGTGCCAGGAGCTCCTAACCAGTTATTCAAGTCCGTTTCCAGGTCAACTCCTCGAGGCCCCAGCTTCTCCACTTCTCTTCTTCTTCCCGTTCCAGTCACTCATCACTCCATCACTAGCCGTTGCTACTCAGCGGCTAGCTCCCTCCGTCCCTCCTCCCACTCAGCTCCCACTTCCTGCTCCTCTCTGCCGACCCAGCCTCACAACCCCGAAGGTATGGCAAGCTGTTCGGGTCACTAATCGCCCACATTTGAACACGTTAGAATATTTGACGCCGAAAAAAAGCGGCGGAAATCCCTTCAGAACGCCGTATTGCTCGTCGTCTTCATGTAGTCGTTCAGAGCGCCGCATAAAACGGCGTTTTTTCTAGTCCTTGAAAGTTACAGTTACAAATTTTTCAGCTACTCAGACATGGTTTCATTATCAGTTTATCAATGTTGATTCAACAACTAGTTTGCATCAATATTACAATATCAACCAAACTGATGATTCAGATGGAAATGTTTCAATGTAAGCTTGTTATCTGGGATGTTATTTAAGAAATACAGACCACAGGGAATCCGGCTCAAGGGCTCTCAGTCTGGTTTTAAATTGTCCTTATATGTTACTACATTTATGAGCTGTCTTTAGTGAGCGCAAAGATAATTTTGTTGTACACCTGTGCAATGAAACAATGTTGTATCTTGAATTTCTGAAAATATCAGATATGTAAATAACAGGTTCATTCCATTAGGTATTTTATTCATTTTTTATTTACTTTTACATATAATCCGAAAATTTAAATATGATGAAAGTCATTTTACATTCCCTGCGCCCCTGCCTGCGTCCAACGACGAGACACACGACTTAGGTCCTGCCAACACGGGGTCAGCGGTCATCCATGCTACTGTTCGACTTGTATCTGTAAGTGTTCACCTGCTTGTTAAGCTAATGTAATGGTGACATTGTCAGTATGCATGCTAAGCCGCGCTGCATTTATTTACCTATTTTATCGCATTGCTTAGCTTTGGCCTTCAGCCCATGCTGCTGCTTCACGCTGCCGTTAGCTTCTGCTCTCAGCTTTGTATGTCGTCGCGGCGATCCTTCATCCTTGTCAATAAAGCCATTAGACATCGAGGAGTGTATTTCTTCACCTTTATTATCTACCTTTATTGTCTACCTTTTAACTGTTACCTTTTAAGCTACGGTCTACAACCTGACAGATAATTGCTCATCTGCCTGCTCAGTCCCTGCTCTGGTTCCACGTCACCACCTCTCTACTTCGGGATGTGGGCCTGCGGAATTTCTGTGTGGCTCGCACTAACCTGGGCTGTTTTTTCCACTCGTTGATCCAACCGTGGATGGGCTCCTCCAGTATTCTTGGCAGAGCTCTTCAATCTCTACTTCCACCAGTCCGGATCTCAACCTCCAGCTCTTATTATTATTTTTAAAGAACACTGTCATCAGCTGTGTCAAAAGAAGCACTGAGATCTAACAAGACTAGAACAGACACAAGACTCTTATCTGAGGCCATAAGAATATTATTTCATTCATTCATTTATTTCCGTCATAACAAATACATATAAAACACATGAAAAGGAAAATAATTATCTAATAAAGAACATAATAATAATTATCACAGGTACAAATTCCTCTTATAAATTAAACAGTTTCTTTAGATATAATTTACGAGCGAAAAGGTATAGGCTGAAGTTAAACTTATTTAAGCCTACCCATTAATTCATTACAAAAAAAAACAACATTGTCATAAATTTCAAAAGTAAATAAACATATTAACAATACAATTATTACATGCATCATCCTAATTTCAACAAAACCAATCAAGAAATATAACATGAATAAAACAAAAACAATTGAAATCAATCAAGAGGTATAAAACGTGTGACAAAACTAATTTTGGTGCACTTGGTAATTACGTAAGACGTTATTTTTAAAACTCTTTTTGAATGTTTTCAACGAGCATGAATTTTTAAATCTATCCTCGAGGCTATTCCATAAACTCACTCCTCTTACTGAGATACATCTTTGTTTTTTATTGGTTCTAATATTCTTTTTTTTTAAAAATCCCAGTTCCTCTTAGACTATATCCTCCTTCCCTTAGTTCAAACATCCTTTGGAGATAAGGTGGAAGTTGAGCCTGATATGCTACAGCCAGTGTATGCAGGTCAATAATATTGTAAAATTTTAGAACTTTTAAATGGATAAAGATAGGATTTGTTGGAGCAAAATAGTTAGCATGGGAAATTATTCGAACTACCTTTTTTTGAAGTAAATATATAGGATAAATATTTGCTCTGTAATTATTTCCCCATATTTCAACACCATAGCTCAGATATGGTAAAATAAATGAGTTATAGAGTATCTGAAGGGATTTAATATTTAAAACAAATCTCATTCTACTCATAAGTCCTATATTTTTTGATATTTTTAACTTTATATCATCTATATGAGGCTTCCAACTCAGTTTTTCATCTAAAGTAATTCCTAAAAATGTAGATGTGTGTACTAGTTCAGTTACAATACCATTTATTTTTATAATAATTTCATTAGTAATTTTCCTGTTTCCAAATATAATGAACTTTGTTTTGGTCACATTCATAGAAAGTTTATTCCTATCAAACCATCCTTTTAACACTGCCAGTTCTTTTTCAACTAAATCAACAAGCTTGTTTAGGTCGTCACCAGAACAATAAAGGCTGGTGTCATCTGCATACAACAAGCAATTTACTTTATCTAGAACCGCACACACATCATTAATATACATTATGAATAATTTAGGTCCCAAAATAGACCCTTGTGGGACTCCATGAGTAATGAACTCCTTTCTTGAATCAACAATATTGATATGCACAAACTGGTCTCTTTCACTAAGGTAGCTTGCCACCCAAGCATAAGCTGTACCACGAATACCATATCTTTGTAGCTTCTGAAGAAGAAGTGTATGATCTATGACATCAAAGGCCTTACTTAGGTCATTGAAGACACCCAAGGTATATTTATTTTCTTCTACTGCAGCTGTGATATCTTCAGTTAAGGCCATTACTGCCATCAAAGTGGATCTGTTTGATCGAAAACCAAACTGTTGTTCATTTAGCAAATTGAATTTTTTAACAAAATCATCAAGTCTAGTGACAAACAATTTTTCTAAAATTTTAGAAAATTGTGAGAGAAGCGAAATCGGTCTATAATTTTTGAATAAGTGTTTACTTCCATTTTTATAAATAGGGATTACTTTTGCTGTTTTCATTTTACTTGGAAAAACACCAGTACAGAATGACAGATTGCAGATATATGTAAGGGGTGTGACAATGTAATTGATAATGTCCTTTAATAACCTCATATCTAAATTACTGCAATCAGTTGAACTTTTGTTTTCAAATTTATTGACAATATTTATTATTTCAATGTCTTCTACACCCCTTAAAAATAGAGAACTGGGGTTACAATTAGATATGGACTCAGTAATATTTTTTTCATTTTTACTTATAGGTGCTTTGATAGCACCAGCTAATAATGGTCCAACCTCAACAAAAGAACGATTGAAAGCATTGGCAATTTCCTTGATATCAGTGATTTCATGATCTTCTTTAATGAAATAGCTTGGGAGTGCGTTAACTTTTTTTCCATTCCTAATTATACCATTTAATGTTTTCCAGATTCCTCGTGTATTATTCTTGTGTTGTTCTAATAATTTATGATGGTAATTTTTTTATTCATGCGTATTATATTTATTAATTTATTTTTATATGTCTTATATCTTTCTTCAGCACTTTTAGTTCTTTGTTTTAAATATATTCTGTAAAGATGATTTTTCTTCTTACAAGCCTTAACTATGCCATATGTTATCCAGGGCTTTTTTATTTTAATTTTATTTTCAGTAATATATGGCTTTAATGGGCAGTGTTTATCATAGAGTTTGGTTACTTTGGATAAGAAGGCATCATATGCTAGGTTGGGGTCCTCAGTACAAAAAACTTCATCCCACGTCTGAGCAGAAAGATCTGCCTTGTGTATCATTTGTAACTCTCACTAATGCAGTTTCAGTGCTGTGATACTCTCTAAAACCAGACTGAAATTCCTCAAACAGTACATTAGTGTTTAAATGCTCACATACTTGGATGGCCACTATTTTCTCCAGGACTTTGGATAAAAATGGAAGGTTAGATATTGGTCTATAATTCATTGGGTCATCTGGATCCAGAGAAGGCTTCTTAAGTGAAGGTTTGATTACAGCAACCTTAAAATCCTGTGGTACATATCCATTTACTAAGGATAGATTGATTATATCTAGAATGGGGGCAGCAACAAAAGGAAATGCTTCTTTAAATGATTTGGTTGGGATTGGATCTAAAATGCAAGTGGGATGTTTAGATGAAGCTAATATTTTTGATAACTCTGAAAGCTCAACTGGATCAAAATGGTTCAAACACAGATGAGGTTCTACAGTTACCTCTGATGCTGCCTCACTTACTGAGGAAGAAGAAATCACATTAGGGAGGATGTTAATGATTTTGTTTCTAATAGAATTAATTTTACTTGTAACAAATCCCATGAAGTCATTGCTGCTGAGGGCTAAGGGAATAGATGGTTCAGAGCTATGATTCTGTGTAAGTTTGGCAACTGTACTGAAATCTTGGATTATTCTTATTCTCCTCAATTAGCGATGAAAAATATGCAGTTCTAGTTTGTTGAGGCTTATTTTTATAAAGCACAAGACTATTTTATCCAGGATAAGTCAGACTCCTCCTGGTGTGTAGAGCATCACGTTCTCTCCAATTTTCTAGTTTTGTTTTAAAGGGATAGTTCGCTTTTTGAGACAAGAAGTTGTATGCGTTCCTTATCCCACCCAGTGCTCTGTAAACAATGACCCATTTCACACACACCCCTGCTCAGAGATTTTCAGGGGGAAAGGGATTCAGGAAACAACTTCTGGCTAGTTTCGGGGGTACTGCATCTCCGCCGTTTAGCGTCACAAAAGGATTTTCCTCTGAAAGCATGACTAATGTACATTTCAGAAACACAGCCAGGTAAATTGACAACTTCACATTACAACAGCTACTTTTTATCATCAAAAAATGTAAAAATATAAAAAAGAATTTAGAAAAGTTAAAAATATATAAAAGAGGCTTTAGTCACTTAAAAGGAGTTGTTCTTACATATATAGAGCCATGGTGCATACCTGCAGTTTCCCGGTTGTAACAATAAGGATGTTACAGGATCACCTTTTAGGTTCCACACTTTCCCTGTGAAGGCCGCTTCTCTAGCATCACTTTTGGCAATCGG